GGACAGCGCCCAGGCCCAGAGTTCAAGCCCCACGACCGACAAAAAAAAAAAAGACAAGAAAGAAGATAGGATGAGGCCATGAAAAGGGTGCTGTTTTGAAGTCTTAGGCAGTTTTTTGTTTGTTTTTATTTGCTTGCTGTTTTTGTTTGGTTATTGCTGGGTTTTAAATAAGGGCTTTGCACATGTCAGGCATGTGCTTTGACATTTCAGCCACACCACCAGCCCTTGGAGTCTTGTTAATATAATTGTAGATTATTTAAGTGTACATTGCAGTACGGTGATTGAAATTGCTAGGCTTAGATTTTCAGGTATTGTTTTGAACCCATGGCCTTGTACATGCTATGTAAGCACTCAGCTATAGAATTAGCTCCCTAAGTATTGATGTTTTGTAACCCAGACTGGCCTTGAACTACAGGTCACAGGACTATACATGACTGACATTTGTTTGACAGGGTCATGTTGCCCTTTGTGGTATCAAACTCCCTGGTTTAAGCAGCTTACTTGCCTCTTACTTTCAAAGTTATACAGCACTCTTTTTTCTATAATATAATTCAAGTAACACTTTTATTTGCTGGCCTTTTGTGTTGCTGGTGAGTAAGTTGAGGGCCTTGTATGTAGTAAGTAGTAGTAAGCACTTTACCATTAGGCAACATCCCTAACCCAAGGATTTAGAACAGAGGAGCAATTGGTTGACCTTTGTTGTATAGGTTCTGCCATCTGAGCCAAGTTTCCAGCCCCTGTTGGCTTTAGTTGTTTAGTCTGGTTTTGTCTGAATCAACCTAATGACAATCCTACTTAGACCTTGCATATAACTGGTATGAGAGGCACATGAAACAATGCCCACATTTTATTGGTTGAAATGAGGCCTCAATAACTTTTTATATGTGCATGCAGGCATAATGTAATCACAGCATGCCTCTTTGGTAACTTAGTCCCCACCTCAAGTTCAGTGCAGTAATTTAAAGGCTGGCTTATGAATAATTTCTTTGTATATTTGTAAATGACAAAATGTTTATTACTAATTTTTTTCACCCACAGAGGCTTAATGAAAACTTTTATATTGATATTTGAACTGTCTATTTTCATAGGAGTTCGCAGGTGAAGACACATCGGATCTGTTTTTGGAAGAAAGAGAAACAGCTCTTCGACAGGCTCAAGAAGAGAAACATAAACTTCAAATGTCTGTCCCTGGCATACTTAATCCACATGAAATTCCAGAAGAAATGTGTGATTAAAATCTGAAGTCATGCTGGGTATTTTTTCTCTGCAGCACTTGTTTGCAGAAGAAAATAGCATCTGGATATTTGTCGACCAAAATGATGCCAATTTGTAAATTAAAATGTCACCTAGTGGCCCTTTTTCTTATGTGTTTTTTGTATAAGATTTTCTGTGAAATATCCTTCCATTGTTTAAGCTTTTGTTTTGGTCATCTTTAGTTTGCATGAAGTTGAAAAAAATTAAGGCATTTTTTAAACTTTTACTTCATGCCCATTTTGTGGCAGGGCTAGGGGGAGGAAGCAAATTCAATTTGAACATATTCTTGTAAATTCTAAAGCAGAATTACACAATTTTTCTTGGAAACAATACCAGTTTTAATTAGGGAGTATTTTCTCTAGCCTGATTTTCAGTCTAGAAGAAAAAGCAATGAGTAAAACAAATAAAAGGATTACAGTGCTGCATTGTCTGAAGTTAGCACCTCTTGGACTGGATTGTCTGTCTAGAGTACATGTATTACAAGTCTGTACGGCAAATTTGCAGCAAGATCATGTGCATATCATCCCATTGTAAAGCGACTTCAAAAATATGGGAACATGGTTAGTTATTTTTACAGAGTTCTTTTTGTTTTTGTGTGTGTGTGCTGTCGCTTGTCGACAACAGCTTTTTGTTTTCCTCAATGAGGAGTGTTGCTCATTTGTGAGCCTTCATTAACTCAAAGTGAAATGGTTAAAAATATTTATCCTGTTAGAATAGGCTGCATCTTTTTAACAACTCATTAAAAAAAAAACAAAATAAAACTCTGGCTTTTGAGATGACTTATACTAATTTACATTGTTTACCAAGCTGTAGTGCTTTAAGAACACTACTTAAAAAGCAAAATAAACTTGGTTTACATTTATTTTCCCTTTATTGGCTCAGAATTATTTTGTATTAATGAGAGATTGTGTTTAACCATGGAAAACAAATTTTTTTTTTGTCGGTCATGGGACTTGAAACTCTGGGCCTACTCACTACTGTCCCTCAGCTCTTCAGCTCAAGGCAAGTACTCTACTACTTGAGCCACAGCACCACTTCCAGTTTTCTGGTGATTAATTGGAGATCAATTAAGTGGAGTCTCACAGATTTTCCTGCCTGGGCTGACTTTGAACCTCCATCCTTAGATCTCAGCCTCCTGAATAGCGAGGATTATAGGTGTGAGCCACTGCTCCCTGGAAACATTTTTAAATGAAGTTTGATCCTTGGCTCGCAATACCTTTTTCTTTTGGTTGGTCATGGGGCCTGAACTCTGGGCCTGGGCGCTGTCCCTCAGCTCTTCAGCTCAAGGCTAACACTCTTACCACTTGAGCCACAGCATCACTTACAGCTTTTTCTGCTTATGTGGTGCCGAGGAATCGAACCCAGGGTCTTATGCATGCAAGCAAGGCAAGCACTCTACCACAGAGCCACATTCCCTGCCCTTTTTGTTTTTTTGGTGCTGTCCCTGAGCTTTTGCTCAAGGTAGTGCTCGATCATGTGAGCCACAGCTCCACTTTCAGCTTTTCCTGAGCAGTTGTTGGAGGTAGAGTCACATGGACTGTCCTGATGGGATTGGCTTCCAACCACAGTCTTCAGATCTCGGCCTCCTGAGTAGCTACCATTATAGGTGTGAGCCACCAGCACCTGGCTTCAAGTAATGTTTCTAAAGAGCTAACGGTTGTATAAAGTGAACATGTTCCTCAGAATATTCTACTTGGGGTAGGTGGGTTGTAATATTTTTTTTAAAGCAACACAAACATTAACAGTATATACTATCACAGGCCAAATAGTCCTTGGAGGTAAAAGCCTTCTCATCTCTGTAGATTGCCAATAACCATTTCTTATCCTCTGGTTTAATTCTGATTACAGATAGTGTAACTACACAATAGGTTTAGAACAATGACAGGTATATGGAACTCTTACATATGTTCCTAATTCACAAAACTCTTAGATAGCATTCAACAAGCTTGATGACCTGGAGGATTGTGCAGTTCTAAGCAAACACAAAGGGAAAAGTCTTAAGTAACTAGCCAAAAGCAGGACTGGGGCTCAGGCCTGTAATCCTAGCTACTCTGGAGACTCAGGTCAGAGGATGATTGCAGAAATCCCCTAAGACTTAACCAATTACCCCAAAAGCCAGAAGTGGCTTTATGGCTCAAAATGGTAGAGCAATGTACTAGAGCACAAAAGCTCAGGAGACTGTCCATTTCCTGAGTTCAAATCTCAGCACTGACACAAAACAGGGCTGGAATCTCAAGTGGTGTACTACTAGCCAAAAGTTCAGTTACCCCTTAAAAATAGAATAATCCTTAAGCACACCCTTGGGGGAAGGAGGCAAGAGAAGATTCTGTATTGAATCAAAAAGGCTCACTGCTAGCAAGGTTCTTGGTGCCATGACTACTATTCAATAGCCTCTGAACTACAGTGGCTTTTCTTTGGAACTAGGAGTCAAACCGAAAACAATGCTCTGCCAACTGCACTAAATGTGAAGATTTAGTAACATTCTTGTAACTTAGGTTAGCTTATTTTGAAATAGAAATGTATGACAGTGATGGATTAACCAGTGCCACAGGTTTACTTTTGGTGCAGAAATTCTGGCAATGGAACTTGACCACAATGAGGCTCCAGTTTCTTAAAACAATTTTTCTGGTACTGGGGCTTGAATTTGGTCTAGCTCTGTCCCTTAGCTTTTTCTTTCAAGTCAAGTGCTCCAGCACCTGAGCCACAGCTCGTTCTATATCATAGCCTTAATACAGCTGGGTGATTCATGCCTGTAACTTAGCTACTCAGAAGGCTGAGATCAGAAGTTCATGGTGTAAAGACGCCTGGGCAAGAAAGTCAGTGAGCCTTTACAATAAACTACTGAAGTGGAGCTGTGTGGTTCAAGTGGTAGAGCACTATCCTTGAGGACAAAAGGCAGAGAGCCCAGGCCCTGACTTAAAATCTAGGGGCAGCTCCCTCCTTCCCAAACACAAAATACTTAGCCATATATTGGCTCTGTGTGTGTGTGTGTGTGTGTGCGCGCGCGCCCGTGCGTATGCGTGTGTACACTCCCTAGCTTGGCCTGGGGCTTGACTTGGCATGGGTGCTGAGTTGGTCTGGCTTTGAACCTAGATCCTCATATCTCAAGCCTCCTGAGTACATAGGATAATAGGTTTGAGCCACCTACTCCTGACTATATTGGCATTAATTTAAAAACAAAAATGTTCATGCCTAGCAAGCATAAAGTCCTGAGTTTCAACACTACCATCTACTCCCACCCCAGAAGAAGAAAACAATTTGAGATGTAATCCATTGGTGGAGCACTTGCCTAGTATGCTCAAATATACAAGGTCCGGGTTCCATCTCCAACACCACAGGAAAATTGCAACACAGTAAAATTTGTAATTAAAAAATTAGAATAAAGTAAACAATAAACCAAGTAGCATACTACTGTAAGCATTCAGGAAGCTGAAGAATAGAGTAGTTCTAGGCCAATGTGGGCTAGTTACATAGTTACATAGTGAGACTGTCTCAAAAAAAAAAAAGATTCCATGTTACAGCTGGGCAAAGTTCAAATAGCTAGTCAGGAGGATACAATCCTGCCATCCAAGCTATGGTGGGGAGCAAAAATAGGAAGATCATGGCCTAGACAAAACAAAGACTCCATCTGAAAAGGGCTGGATATATGCCTCAGTGATAGAGAGTACCTGCCTAGTAAGTGTGAAGTTCTGAATTCAAACGCCAGTACTGCCAAAACAAAAAAGGAATGTGTTAAATAACTATTCTCCTTCCTACAGGTTATTTTTCCCTCAGCAATTTATGATACCTTTTTCTTTTAATTTTTTAAAATTATTTTACTATTATTAGACAGTGGTTAGTTTTTAAATGACTCTATTATTAAGATTGTACAGAAGGGGAGGATGGGAAGGGAAGGGAAGGGGAAACAAAGGAGGAGGCTACAATGCTTGATAAGAAATGTACTCATTATCTTGCCCATGTAATTGTAACCCCTCTGCACAGTATTTTCACACACACAAAAGATTGTACAGAGGGGTTACAATTCCATAAGTCACAGAAAAAGTACATTTTTTTCCTTTTGGTTGGTTGTGGGGTTTGAACTCAGGGCCTAAGTGCTGTCCTTGAGCCCTTTTGCTCAAGGATAGCACTTTGTCAGTGAGCCACCACTCCACTTTTGGAGTTGTTAGCTGGAGATACAAGTCTCATGGGGATTTTTCTGCCTGGGTTGGCTTCGAACCTCAGTTCTCATTTGGTATCTCCACAGGTATGAGCCACTTGCTCCCAGGTGTGAGTACAATTCTTGGACAATGTCACTCCTTACTTCACTTTCCTACAGTTTTCCCCTCACATCCCTGCCCACAAGTTGAAGAGTTCATGTTTTTACATAGTGTATACTGAATACCACACTGCCCCATTTCTGTTCCCCTTTGCCCCCTCCACTTCAAAAAAGAAGACAAAACAACAAAAAACGACCACCATCAGTAACAACAAAACATATTTTGATTTTCTGGATTTTTTAAATGTAATTTTAATTAATGTGTTATACAGATGGAGTACCATTTCATAAGTTAGGTAGTGAGTACAATTCTTTTTTTTTTCTCGTTCTTTTTCTTTTTCTTCGTCAGTCGTGGGGCTTGAACTCGGCTTGGGCGCTGTCCCTGTGCTCTTCAGTTCAAGGTGAGCTCTCTACCATTTAAGCCACAGCACCACTTCTGGTTTTCTAGTGGTTTATTGGAGATAAGAGTCTCACGGACTTTCCTGCCCGGGCTGGCTTTGAACCTCGATCCTCAGATCTCCACCTCCTGAGTAACTAGGATTACAGGTGTGAGCCACTGGCGCTCAGCGTGAATACATTTCTTATTGTTAAGTGACACCCTTTCACTGTCCCCCTTTCTCTGCCTGTAAGTTGCATAGTTCATTTTCTATATACTGTCTACTAAGTGTTGCATCTACATTGTTCACCTTTTTTCAATTTTTGCAGACCCCCTCAAAAGACAGAAACAACCCCAAAAGCAAGAACAAACACTACCATCACTAACGACCAAAAAAGTTTCCATTTCCTGGAATTGATAGAAATATGAGGCTGGCAATGTGGCTTAGTGGTAGAATGCATGAAGCCCTTGGTTTGTTTCTGTAGTACCACATAAACAGAAAATGTGGAAGTGGCAATGTGGCTCAAGTGGTAGAGTACTAGCCTTGAGCCAAAGAAGCTCAGGGACAGTGTCAGACCCTTGAGTTCAAACCCCCAGGACTGGCAAAAACAAAAACAAAACTATTTATACAAAATAAATAGTATTTCAGTTTTTTCTATTTTATTCCAAAGAGGAATAAGTGATCAATAAAATGTTTTTAGCATCACCAGTGCATATTATATCTATATACGTATATATAGATCTATCTATCTACCTATAGAGAGAGAGTGCTCATGCACGCACAAGGGCACACATGCCACTTCTAGTTTTATATGGTAGTTTAGTGGAGGTAAGAGTCTTACAGGCTTTCCTGCCTGGCCTGGTTTCAAACTTTGATCCTCAGATCTTGTCCTTCTATGCAGCTAGGATTACAGACATGAGCCACTGGTGCCTAGCTTTGGATATAATTTTGTTGGAACAGTGGAATACAGATAAGAGTTGAAGAACAAAAATTAAAATTTCTGATAGAGGGGCTGGGGGTTTAGCCCAGCAGAAGGGCGCCCGCCCGGCACGCGCAAGGCCCTGGGTTCGGTCCTCAGTCCTGGGGGAAAAAAATTTCTGATAGAGAGTTGGTACATGTATTTTAAAGTTTTATCATTTTGGGTGATTTTATTGTCATTAAAGGTTCCAATGACAAATGGATGAATGAAGGACACTCTCTTGGTGGAAAAAAAGGAATAAAAGAACAAGA